TATATATATATATATATATATATATATATATATATATATTTCTATCCCTTAGATAATAACACCCAATTTTTATCTTCATAGAGCAGAACTGTAGAACACTCCCTGAGTTCTTAATTTTCACTCATCCATCATGCTGCCAAGTTGTTGCCTGAATCTTTTCACCATGTCTCTTGCTTTCACTTACCATATACCATAGTTTCTCACAAACAAGTTCTCAACATTCGTTCATTTATTTTTTATACGAGTTAATCCACACTTTTTCCTGCTGCTAAATTCTTGAACTAGCATTTTGATCTTCTTCGTCATATTTTCTGTTGTGACTTCAAATGTGGATTTTATCCTACTGAGTTTTGAACTTTGCCTTATGTGTTTCTCACTATTATCTACTAGGTAGATTTGTATTGGCCTTCTTTCTCTTTCTAACATTCATGTCCTCTAACTTTTTGTCATTGATTTTCCTCTCTCCTGCTCCTCAAGTAATAACTTCTTTCCTTCCAACACTTCTTAGATCTGTAAAGGTATGTCTCAGGAGAACTTGACTGTTGACATTACAGATGAATCACACCTCTTTCTTAATTCTTCTGTTTCCTTCTTGGCATTATCACTATCTGAATCTGTTCTGTTTCCTCACTTATTGTCAGACATTGGTGTATTATCTTCTCCAAGAAAGTGATTAGCCTATGTCTACCTACTCCAACTGTTTAAAGAATCTTCAGACACACAAAGCACAAACAACAACATGATGAATATGTACTAAATGAATGACTATAAGAACAAATTAAATTAAATGGATCTAATATACCTGCTCTAAAATACAATATATAATTAGCTGCTCATTACTGTTAGTTTATATTGTACTATATCTTTAATGTTTCACCTAGTACCCTTTCTATTCCTAACATAGTAAACAATATAATCAGTATAAGTTCAGTTACATATGTGCACATACTGTTCCCTTCAAAAGAAATTGAGAGACAACTGAAAATTTATCAGGCTAGTAGTGTGTCAAAGTGCAAAACAGAAGCAATTTGTAAAATTCTCAGCAAAAACTGATGTCTCTGAATTGCTTCTATTATTTTCACTGGTACCTGTCCTAATGCTTTATTATTATTATTATTATTATTATTATTATTATTATTATTATTATTATTATTATCAGCAGCAGCATCAATTATTATTAGTCTAGATAATTTTTGTCTGTTACTTCAATTAACTACATAAATGTTTACTTCTTGCTAAAACGAATTTTAATTCCCTTCTTATTGATGCGAGATCCTTTTGGAATTGACTGAATCTCTCAAAGAGGTTTCATAAAATAGCAGTCAAACACAAGGTGCTATGTTGTGAACTGTCATACTCGAAGGCAGTGTTCTCAACCTGGGGATTGAATGAACATTTCATAGGGGTCACTTAAGACAATCTGAAAGCACACGTATTTACATAATTCATAAAACCACTAAAATTAAAATTATGAAGTAGCAATGGGAGTCAACAGCAACATGAGGAAATGCAATGAATGGCCACAGCATTAGGACATTTGAGAACCACTACTATAAGCCTTTGCATATATTAATTGTGCATCTTTATCATATTGTCCATGTTAGCTTCTGATCCATGAAAAAAATGTGCAATAAGCAACTCTGAATGAGTGAGGAATTACTTTGGCTCCTGGCCACAAGTGTCATCCTATGGGTCATTTAAAATTCTACTGTTAAGTAGGATGTCATGGTGTAGAGTAAGTGGTGGCTCACAGCTGTTCACCCTTGGGCATCCAGAAAGGGCAGAGAATCAGAGTAAGGAGCCAGCAAAATAATACACCCTTAAAAGCATGCTCCTCCAGTAAGACACTCCCTCCAATGAGGCCCAATTTTAAAAATTTCCACCTCTTCCTTATCTACCAGTGATGAGTACCAGGCTTGTAACACGTGAGATTCGAAGACAATTTAGATACAAAATTGTAGCCAATTCTTTACTTTTCAAGATAAACATAAAGCTTGATTTAGCAACTAATTTTGTTTCCTTACTGATTGCTGTGATAAAAAACTAAACAGAACTCACTTTTTAAAGATTTTTAAGATATTGTATGACTTATTTATCAATTCATTATATAAACAAATCCTCAAATACATTCATTCTCTCATTACACTAATTTATAATCAAACATTGGATCTGTGGTACAGACATAAGAGTAAACACTGGTGTGCTTCATCCATGTGAATCTCAGTGTAAAGTAGAACAACGGCAGAACGT